GGACCTCTTCAAGGAGAACTACAAACCACTGCTCAATGAACTAAGAGAGGACACAAACAGATGGAGAAACATTCCATGCTCATGGTTAGGAAGAATCAATATCATGAACATGGCCATACTGCCCAAAGTAATTTATAGATTCAAGGCTATCCACATCAAGCTATCAATGACCTTCTTCACAGAACTAGAAAAAACCACCTGAAACTTCATATGGAACCAAAAGAGAGCTTGCATAGCCAAGACAACCCTACACAAAAAGAACAAAGCCGGAGGCATCACGCTACCTGATTTCAAGCTATACTACAAGGCTACAGTAATCAAAACAGCATGGTAGGTACCAAAACAGAGATATAGACCAATGGAACAGAACAGAGGCCCTGGAGACAATACCACACATCTACAACCATCTGATCTTTGACAAACCAGACAAAAACAAGCAATTGGGAAAGGATTCCCTGTTTAATAAGTGGTTTTGGGAAAACTAGAAGTGTGCAGAGAGCAGAAACTGGACCCCTTCCTGACACCTTACACTAAAATTAACTCCAGATAGATTAAAGACTTAAACATAAGACCTAACACCCTAAAAACCCTAGAAGAAAACCTAGGCAAAACCATTCAGGACATAGGCATAGGAAAGGACTTTATAACTAAAACACCAAAAGCATTGGCAACAAAAGCCAAAATAGAGGTGAAGGATACGAACAGACATTTTTCAAAAGAAGACATATATGAGGCCAACAAACATATGAAAACATGCTCATCATTACTGATTATTAGAGAAATGCAAATCAAAACCACATTTAGATACCATATCATGCCAGTTAGAATGGCGATCATTAAAAAATCTGGAGACAACAGATGCTGAAGAGGATGTGGAGAAATAGGAACACTTTTACACTGTTGGTGGGAGTGTAAACTAGTTCACCCATTGTGGAGGACAGTGTGGCATTCCTCAAGGACCTAGAAATAGAATTCCATGTGACCCAGCAATCTTATTACTGGGTATATACCTAAAGGATTATAAATCATTCAATTATAATGACACATGAACACATGTTCATAGTGGCACTGTTTCCAACAGCAAAGACCTAGAACACATCGATGATAGACTGGACAAGGAAAATGTGGTACATATACACCCTGGAATACTATGCAGCCATAAAAAATGATGAGTTCATGTCCTTTATAGTGACATGGATGAATCTGGAAACCATCATTCTCAGCAAACTGACACAAGAACAGAAAATCAAACACCGCATGTTCTCACTCATAGGCAAGTAATGAACAATGACAACACATGAACACAGGGAGGGGAGCATCATACACTGGAGTCTGTTGGAGGGGGCAAGGGAGGGACAGCAGGGGCGGGGTGGGGAGGTCTGGGAGGGATAACATGTGGAGAAAGGCCAGATGTAGGAGACGGGGGGATGGAGGCAGCAAACCATATTGCCATGTGTGTACCTATGCAACAATCCTGCATGATCTGCACAGGTACCCCAGAACCTAAAGTACAATTTAAGAAATTGAAATATTTAGATGGCTGATTAATTTTAGATGGAAAATTATTTAATAGTAATGTTAGGCTGATAGAGCCACAAAAGAACAGTCATGAGAATACTTTGAAAGATGTAATTTGTAAGAAAACATGCTTTGTAGGTGTGATAATTGTTATAGGAGAAGAGATTCTAGATTTCCATGTTAAAATCACCAGTAGTCTCTGGGTTTGTGAACACTACCGACCTTTCAAGAAGCCCTTAGTGTGAAGCTGAACGTTTGCCACCAGTATGCCTTGACCCTCCAACCCACACTGTGGTGAGATTGGCTTCCCTAGGCACAGTGCCCGACCCCTGACCAGGAAGGACCATGAAAGCAGGAAAGTAGCTCAGTCTCTGTCTCTGCTCCTATTATAATATTTTGGCTGAGATCACTAGAAAGTGACTCAGTCACTAGTGATGAGAAAGAGAGATATCTATCACAGTTAAGATTTCTATATTATGATTCAGATTTTATTTTAGTTTCAGACTAGTTTATTTATATTTACGTGACATTATAGCAAGTATTAAGAAAACCAAAGAAACATGTATGAAGTTTAGAAACTGAGTAATGTATCTGAAGTTAGAAATAGATGCTAGAATTACACATAGAACACCCCTCTGTTAGATACTTTACTTTTTGTTGGCCTAGTCACCTTACCTTTTTATTGTAAGGTTGGGCAGCTAGGATCCAGAAGTACTAGTTTTGTTTCCTGCAGATGTGAATACGAGGCCAACAATATTTTATAGACTTAGAGCCATTGGTTATGGATCTAAGATCTTCAAATATGATCCAGAAAACTACAGCTAACACAACCCAGTGGAGCAGCTATTACAGGAGAAGTTACTGCCCCAGGAATGTCTATCCTCTTCATAGAGCACCTTTGAGTACTGTTATAGGTTGAATTGTGTTCCCCTAAAATTTATATGTTGAACTAACCCTCTGCTAACCCCCAGTACCTCAGAATGTGATCTTATTTGAAATAAGGACATATATTATATAATTAGTTAGGAAGAGCTCATAATGGAATAGAGTAGGCCCCCTAATGCAACATGACTGGTGTCTTTATAAAAGAAGACCATGCAAAGAGACATGAAAGCACACAGGAAGAACATCATGTGATGATGAAGGCGTATGAACGCCATGTAAAGATGAAGGCATGTGAGTGCCATGTGAGAATGAAGGCATGGAGCACCACGTGAGGATGGAGGCATGTGAGTGTCACGTGAGGATGGAGGCATGTGAGTGCCACGTGAGGATGGAGGCATGTGAGTGCCACGTGAGGATGGAGGCATATGAGTGCCACTTGAGGATGAAGTCATGTGAACATCAAGTGAAGACTGAGGTGCTGTTTCCAGATGCAGAAAAATGTCAAAGGTTGCCAGCAAACCACCAGAAGCTAGGAGGAGGCATGGAACAGATACTCCCCTGATGGCCTTTGGAAGAAACCAAACCTGTCAACACCTTTTTTGGACTTCTAGACTCAAGAATAAGTTCCTGTTGTGTAAGCCACCCTGTTTGTGGTACTTTATTGTGGCCACCCTACACAACTAATTTAGGTGACAATTTTTAGAGGGAGACAGAAAGTAAGAGGTCATTTGATGCTAGAGTGTTCAACCTCACATTCTTTACAGGATCAAATCACTTGTCCTAAATAAAGATTAAAAAATATTACAACTTTTATACTTCTAATTCACAGTCTCTGAGTATCTATAACATTTAAATTTTGTATTAGGAATCATCAAAAATAGCACCTAAGAAATTTAGTTTCTACAGAAGATTATGAGATTATGTTGCTAAATGTAAAGATAGTCTTTTAAAGAACTGCTTGCTTAATACTCAGGTGAAAGTACCACCACTAGAAATTGTGTTCACAAGATTCTCAAGGCAATATTCTCAGACTCAGTGTCTATAACTTTAAGGAGATGGAGCCTGTTCAATGTCTAAAAACAAATGAGAGTAAAGATGGGCCAACCATGTTTGGAACTGTGGTTAGTCTTTTAAAGCTTTGTAGGTTTAAGTTTCCACAAAAAGGAAAACAATTAAATTGTCTCATTCGTCTCTCTAATTTCTGACACACAACAAAGAAAATATTTGCAAAGTATCAAGATGACTAAACCCAGGCTGACTGGCTCATGTAAAACCCTAAAGGCTCCTGGCCTCTACTCCCAGCCTGCTTCTCACCAGAGTTGCTGTTAGGGTATTCACATTTTTGGGAAATAAGAAAACAGTGCCTCTTTCCAGATGATCAAACCAACCTTATTTGTGACCAGTGACTGAGGAACTACCACTCAGAAAAGCAACGATAAATTTCCCCTATCTTCTACAAAAACAGAAAATAAAACATCTTCTACAAAAACGGAAAACTTTTAGTTTGGCCATTTTCTATGTACATGTATTTGTCTACATACATGTATTTCTCAAAATGATGTTAAAGGACTGCATTCATTTTTTTTTAAGTTGCCAAACCAAAACCAAGCAACGTTTTTCAGTAGTTCCAAATGTTGGGCTCACAGATGGATTACTACATTTGGTGATGGTAGAAAAGGAACTCTAGAATTTGAGAAATTTATTTTAAACCCAAAGCCAAAGTTCTTGTCCTAATAAGTCTTACCACTTGATAGTTCATAGTATTATGTAAATAACACCCATTCAGTAAAGATACTCCATGTGAATAAAAGCCGCCAGAGACAAAGCTTAAGTATTTCTTACAAACGCCTGGGAGTTGGGAGTGGAGGTGGCAGAGTGATGTCTTCAATATTGAGTTTCAGAAGCATTTTTGCTTGCATTTAAAAGCTTAAGACTAAAATGGCTAAAGAGAGAAGCACTTTAAAGTTCTCATCCCAAGGAATAAGGGCTAAGTACCAATAATTTTCATAAGAGAAAAAGAGTTTTGAATTTGGAGAAAATACCAACAAGAAGACCTCCCCCCCGCAAAAAAATGAAAGATTCAATCCTGTGCTATATTCTTTAATCACCAATTTAAGGTCCTGATGAGTAGTCTTTTCAGTGAAAATGAAAGCCCATCTTGTATGAACAAGGAAAATGGAAAATAAGGTGAACCTAAGGCACTTTACTAGGTAACAATTAGAAAGTCTGAATAGCTACCTCAGGAATTGTGAAGGTGTCGTACAAATTCTGTTTTCCCTCTCCCTATTCTTCTCTCCCTTCCCCATCTTTCACCTACTCCCTCTCTCCCTTCCTGAACTTCTCCCCTTCTCTTCTCTTAAAGAACCTTTAAGTTTGTCTCATATATTCCTTTATTCCAAAAAATATGGTGGAAATATCTTGAATCCCTTAACACTAGGATAGTGGAAAGATAAAAATCTTGAATCAGACACTCTTTTAAAATTTGAGATTTCCTTACACAAAAGTTCTAGAATGTTTTAGCTCACAAGTATGGTGTCATGGAAACAAGAATGATTTTTTAAAAAAATTTTCTGCTACTAAAGATAACTAAACAATAAGACGGAAATGAATGACTGGATCCCAAGTAGTCTCACAAAAAGTGGCAATTCTTACACTGAGTACTGAATGAGGAGTAACAGATGAACAAAAAAGCATGAGGAGGAGATGCTTGAGGAGGAGATTAATTTAGGTAGAAGAAATATGTTCAAAGGCACAGAGTTCTGAAAATGTTTGCTCAGTTCACCAGGGTTGTAAAAACATTTGGTATGCTGAGCAAAAGGGACACATGTGACAAAGTTCCGGGGGGTGAAATTAGATGGTAAAGTCTTCTGTGTTAAGTGTTAAGAACTTACCTGAGATTCAGGGTGATACAAGAGCTCCTGGTTCCCCCAACTTCCTCTGTGTTGTAATACAACAGTCAGGTTAGACAGGGCCAGGAAGGAGCATCTGAAGTCAAAGTTGATGCCATAATCACAAGTGCTTAGCTGCATTCTCTTTGGTTCCAGAGGAAATCCAACAGACCTAATGACAGAGGAAAGAGCTTGTGCCTCCTCAAGAGCTGAGCAAAAACAAGGATTTTAGCATTGCTTGGGGAGGAGGAAGATTTTGGCCAGCAGAAGCATAGACCCTCAGAGAACTCCTGTCCCATTGACCTGTGTGGCACTGAGAGGGCTTGTTCCATCTTGTGACTCTAGAGCAGCACTACAGCAGTTCGTAGAACTTCCGTAGTTGAGAAGTTTTCTAATCAATCCTGAAAAGTCTTCTCAAACCTCAGCTGACTGTCCTCTGCCCACAAAGACAGAAACAGCCTTGCCTTGCACAGCTTATCACTCATTTCCGCTTGAGAGAGCCTAATGGCAAGGGTGATGTAGGTGCTGAGAAAACATATACCCTAATTAGAACTAACTTAAGTGGTTAGTTATATTTTGGTTCTCAAAACAACCAAAGGGTGAAGATCAAACTGAATCTAAGGGTGACTACACTTGAACGAAAAATGATGGCCTCAGGTAGCTGAGAAGTTGAAAAAAGTGATGTGCAAATTTTACCTTAATAAGTGTGACTAAAAAAATAAGAATTCTCAAAGAGAAATCAGCTAGTGAATATCAACAAAAGATATACAACTTTCCAATGTAAAGTATCAATAAAAAGCTGAAAAGGTATGCCTAATATTCTGAAAAGCAAAATGCTACTATCATTGTGGCCAGAGAAATGCAGTCTCTAATTAGGCCAGAGGAAGTTCCTATCCCTCATGGCAGATAACGTTGATGTATAGGAACCAATGGCCCAAGATTGGGACGGGGATGATTCTCCAAGGTACCAGAAGAAGAAAGAAAAGATGTGGGTAAGAAACATCTCCAAATACATATATACCTTGATACAGTGGCTTGGGAAACTGTCTAACAGTCCTATAGGAATGTATACCTAATGCTGTGAATTTAAAATAGTTTATGCACTGATTGAACATGAAAATCCAGGCAGCCTTTTGTATTTGCCAGCAATTGTTTCCAGAACACCCCAGGATACCAAAATCTGCAGATTTTCAAGTCGCTTATAGAAATGACATAGTATAGCAGCCCTCAATATTCAGGGGTTTTGATGCTTATGGATTTGGAGAGCTGACTGTAATTTCAATGCCTGTATCAATATAAATATCATTAGACACACTTCTACACAACCGTACTATGGAATATTATACAGCTCTTTAAAAGACTGAGTTAGAACTATACCCATTAACTGGAAGACATGTTTGTTATATATGGTTACACATCAAAAACAAGTCTTATACATTTGTTTTGTTGTGATACTTTTATGTAAAAATCTAAAAAGAGGGCTACTGGTACTTTTTATATATCTTTGAATCTTTGTCACTTTGTATAATGAGTTTATAAAACCTATGCAATTTAAATATTTTTGATTAAGACTTTTTAAAGCAATCTGAACATTGTCCTGAATTTTATGGAAGCCGTTAGGAAATATTTTTCTAAGGGGAGAAATTATGAGGTTTCCTTTTTAGGTGATCACTACAGAAGTTATATAAAAGAAAAGCAAGACTGACAGAAAGAACAGTTAGGAAACTACCACAGATATCCAGGTGGTGGCAGTGAAGAAAGGGACAGCATTTCCAAAAAAATATATAGCTCATCATATATAAATAGGTGTTACACAAACATATTTTAAAACTAATTGGCGTCACTGCCTGAGGCTTGAGTACAGAACACTTGCTCTCTGGAATACACCACAGGGCCAAAGGTGGCTGACTGGATCCAAAGCCCTGACTTAGGTCCTGTGAAGAGACTGATCAGATGAAAAGAAGGAAAAATAGACTAATGGCAATTGCCAGATACAGAGAAAAAGAAGTAGAGGAGCATTTAAAAAGCCAGGATCAAGAATCTGTGGTAATTCCACTGAAATGGCACTCCTGGCAAATGACAGAAATGCCCTTTGAACCTGAGAATAGAGAGATACTGGTGGTCTTAGGAAGAGTGCTTCCTAGGGAATAGAGGATGTAGAGAACAAGGAGGATTGAATGGATCTCAGTGGAATAAGAGTGAGAAAATATGAACTCATCTTTGAAAAGTCCTGTTTGGAAGAGGAGAGAAAGGCTTGGTGCTAAAAGGGGACATGAGATCAAGAAAAGTTGCGTTTGTTTTCTTATTAGTTTTAAGGTAGGAGAAACTTGAGCCAAGGGACAGATAGAGGTTTTCTAAGTCCCAAATTGTACATATGTTGGGAGACTTCCTACAGGAAAGATAAAATTACACATAGAATTAGTTACCTTCCACATAAAAGGTGAAACTATAAAACTACTAGAAGAAAATATGTGGAAAAGCTCCATGACATTGGTCTGGGTACTGATTTATTTTTTATATAATGCCACAGGCACAGGTTAAAAGAAGAAAAAAATAGACTAATGGGATTACATCGAACTAAAAAGCTTCTACACAGCGAAGGAAACAATCAACAGAATGAAGTGACAACCTACAGACTGGAATAAAATATCCGCAAACCATACATCTAATATGAGGTTAATACTCAAAACATGTAAGGAACTCAACTCAAGAGCAAGAAAGTAAGTAACCTGATTTTTTTAAATGGGCAAAAAACCTGAATAGAAGTTTCTCAGAAGAAGACACACAAAGAACCAACAGGTATATTAAAATTAAAAATACTTGATTATACTAATCATTAGGGAAATACAAATTAAAACCACAATGAAATATTACCTCACCTCAATTAGAATGAATATTAACAAAAAGGCAAAAGATAAGTGTTGATGAGGATATGAAGAAAAGGGAAGCCATGTATACTGTCGCTGGTAACGTAAATGAGTATAGTCATTACAGAAAACAGTGTGGAGGTTCCTCAAAAAGTTAAAAATAGAACAGCTATACGATTCAGCAATTCTACTACTGGGTATATATCCAAAGAAAATGAAATCAGTATATCAAACAGATATCTGCACTCTCACTGTCATTGCAGCACTGTTCACGACTGCCAAGACAGTGTATCAACCTGAGTGTCCATCAAAGGGCAACTAAATTTTTAAAAATCTTTTGTATATATACACCGTGAAATACTGTTCAGCCATAAAATAAGGGGATCCTATCATTTGTGACACCATAGATGAATTTGAAGGACATATTAAATGAAACAAGCCAGGCACAGAAAGACGATTACCACCTAATCTTACTTATATAGGGAATCTAAGGAAGCTGAACTAAAGAGTAAAATGAGAGTTAGCAGAAGCTGATAGAGGTCGGAGTTTGGAGGAGGTGGGATATATGTGGTCAAAAGGCAAAAATTTTCAGTTAGAAGAAATAAGTTAAAAAGAACTACTGTACACCATGGTGATGATAATTAATAACGATACATTGTACACTTGAAAATTGCTAAGAGATTAGATTTTAAGTGTCCACACCACAAAAAGTGTGAGGAAATGCATATGTTAATTAGCTTGATTTAGCCATTTCATAATGCATACAAATATCAAAATATCATGTATTTCATAAGTATATACAATTTTTGTCAATTAAAAAAATAATAAAATTAGTTATAAAGGCAAATATTTATTTAGAATGAGAAATCATACCAAATTATACATTGTAAGAAGCTAACAAATTCCATGATTCAGAAAAAGAACATTTTGTTTTAATCACATTATATATCTCTATAATACTTTTACTCTATGATACACACACACATATATATATAACATATATGTCTATATACTATGATTTTAGGCTGTGTAGTCTTTGAACACTTCTGCATATGATAACGATTTGTGTAATATTTTCCACAGAGAGAATAGAAAGATAATTTTGGCTTTCCTTTTGTATATCATATATCTCTTACGCATCAGTTGAGATGTTCTTGGCCTCACCTGTCTCTTGTAGCTCTGCAAGGGCTCTGTCTGACTTCCTGTGATGTAATCTAATAGGTCCTTTTTTTTTTTTCTAGAACCCTGGGGCTTCCCTGTTGACACCTGCTCTGGGATTCTGTTAATGTCCAGACTCATACATGCCAACTCAGAGGAGCACCCAAAGAATAAAACTTTAACCAAGAAGAGAGTGAGCTAGAGAATAAATGTTTACACTTCCCCCCTCTCCCTGTCACTGAAAATGGTCTAGAAGTGACACTGATAGCTTTGGGGGGGGTCATGGTCCCAATGAAATAGCAGTTAGTCACTCTTGGCAGTAGTCAGCTCTGTGACAAGCATCCTCTCATCTCTCCGTTCTGATTCCTAGCTCCTGCCCTCTTGATTTACACTCCCTAATGATATATGGTAGCAGCACATAAATCCTGACTCAGTCACTAATTGCGGGGTAGGGGCGAATAAGCCTCAGATAGCATTATTTATTTGTTTTTCAATATTGATACATTAAAATTTTTTATTTTAGCTTTTTACCTAGTTAATAATGCTATGTGAAATTAGACTATAAAATTGAAAGATGCTTTATTAAGATTCTTGATAGCTGTAAAGTTTTAGGGCATTTTAAGGTTTCTTATACAGAAACATAAATATTTGAATTGCCAAAATTAACAAGCTTATTGACAATGTTCTTGTTACAGTGTCATATTGTGAGCTCTATTTTATTTCCATCAATGTTAGTATTTTATGGCAACTTTTTCTTAGCCAAATCGTAAACATTTCTGCAGCCACTTCAATCCCACTGGACATAAGATGTATGAAGTTGAGTTGAGAAGAGACAGTGTTCTCAATTTATGTTAAAATATCTTACTTTAAAAATTTTCAAAAATATTTGAGCATGAAAAAATATTGACTTTGAAAGGAGCATATGAAAATGGGGATGCAGTATTGAACAGGGCAGATAATGAGCATGCAACAGCAGTTTTATACATTCATTACCAAAGGCAGTGGGAGAATGTTTAGCCTCCACTTGAGAGAGATGTTCAGGAGATATTGCCTTTGTGTGAGAGAACTGGGTTTTAAGAAAGGCAAACAGGTAGAGAGAATATTATGTGAACCATTTGAAAGTGTGGAGTTCATTCTCAAAGAAAGAAGGGTTCCCAAGGGTGCACTGGTAAAGGCTGGCAATGAAGAAATCACTGGACATTGAAACCAGGGAGAAGGACACATAACACAGTATTAGAAGGAAAGCAAGGGAAAGGAGGGCTCATTGAGAAAGGACTTGATTCCATGTCAAGAATTCCAAGGATGACAGGAAGCATCCATGTGTGCAGAAATGCAAATATATATGAAATATACCATTTCTTTATTTCTTCTTACTATTTACTTCAGACTCTGAGACCCCCCCCCTCCCAGATTAGGAAGAGAAAGAGACAGCAACAGTGGTTCCTGGTTTTCTGGGACTCAATGTCAAATGGAAGAAAACCAAAAGTTTGTGGGATATGATGATAAGATAAAGTGCATTATAAAAAATCAGCAATTTATGGCTTTGTCTGAGAGCTTTAAATAGATTGTTGGCCAAAGAATTATTTCTGCTTCAGCAAATTTTAACCAAAGTAGAAAGACGGATAGTCAAGTGTGAGTCCTGATGAGAGTCCCAACATAGTTTCTAACCTCCATAAAGCCCAATTCTTAGAGGAAGGAAAGAAGAATGATCAGTTCAGGTCCAGTTCAGCCCAGAAGGAAGAAATGATCTTGGCTACAAGGAGGCCTGATTTGGCGAATTTTTATGAACACCATCTCCTACTCCTACTATCTGCTAGAATTTTCACTGTAGTAATATTTAATAGAATCCAGGATTTATAAACAAAAATGGGGCCCATAGTACCACACTAAAAATCAATGACTTCTTTGAAAAGTAAAAAAATGCCAAATGAATACAAGATAATAGTAATAATAAAATAATATACAAATGCAAGTTAGTAGTGAATTTGTTTTCTCAACTACACTTTGAAATTCTATGAATTATTTTTTCAAGATCACTAATCAAAATGATGTCTTTCTTTTGTGACTTCTGTCTTTTGATATTTTAGTAAAAGAGATATTACTTAGCTATACTCAAAATTTGAGAGGAAAAAAATACGCAATAGGAACTTGGCCCTAAAGTGACAGAATTATGTATGTAAACATCAAACTATACATGTAGGATGATATCACTTTTCAGATTATGATTGTTTAATTAATTCAAAAGTTGATTATGTATAGCCACCATGCTCTGAAAGGGTTAATTTACTACTTACAGATAATCCAGCTACTTTCAGAGAGGATTAGTTGGCTCACCGGCTTCAAGAGGATAAATGTGCAATAGCACACAGTAAGGCCCACGTGAAAATGAGGAAATAGCAAGCCGGGGAAGAGGCACACAGCACTAATCTCTGACCCTAAGCAAGACCAAGAGGCAATTGTCTATTCAGACAAGTGCATACAGTCATGGTCCAGGCCAGCACTCCCCTCTCACACAATTTCCCTTTAGAGGAAGAAATGGCTTAGATACACAATATTATACCAAAGCAACAATGATGTTTCTCTTTGCACAGTGCCATTCCCCAGCAATTCCCCAAAGTGTATGCATCATAAGCTAAAAGAGAATAATCATGGACCCACAAGTATCATGCAAGAATACAAAATGTCATTAAAATATTCTTTTAGGCCAGGCATGGTGGCTCACAACTGTAGTTCCAGCTCTTAAGAGACCAAGGAGGGTAGGTCACTTGAGCCCAGGATTTCAAGACCAGCCTGAGCAATACAAAGAGACTCCATCTCTACAAAAAAATTTTTTTAAAAATCAGCCAAAGGAGCATGCCTGTAGTCTCATATACGCAGGAGACTGAAGTGGGAGGATCACTTGAGACTGGGAGGTCAAGGCTGCAGTGAACTGTGAACATGCCTCTACATTCCAACATGGTCAACAGAACAAGACACTGTCTCAAAAAAATGATATTTTACCCAGTTATCATGTAAGTGCTGCCTCACATTCCCAGAGACCCAAACTTCTATATTCTATGATGTTATATATTACAATTATATATTCAATTATATATTCTAAAGAGTGAGTCTAAAATGCTAATTAAGCCCTCTGGCATCTCTTCCTATTCTGTTTTGGATTTGTTTGTTTTATTTTTCCATATCTATTTTTTAACTAGATAGACGAGGGTTGGGAGATTAGAGAAGTGGAAGAGAGACAGAATATATACACATTTATGCATAGACAAATGTTAAATGATATCTATCAAATAATTAATATCCATAATATTTAGAAGTAAGTTTCAAAGTACCCACCCTTGGCAAATTTGGGATGAGAGAGTGCCTTAAAAAAGGATGTCTAGAATTTGTCTAACCTAATTGTTTTTGAAATATTTCTTACAAAACCAATATTCTCCACCTCCTTATCTTCTTGCCTTCAGGTAGCAAAACTAAAATCTAGAAGTAGAAAAAATTCTGTAAGTGTCTAGAATTAAGCATCTTATATGTTTAATTCACCTAGTTATGTGCCAGGCACTTGAGATATATCAATTAACAACTGCTATGGTTTGAATGTTTGCTTCTTCCAAATTCACATTGAAATTTAGTTGTCATTATAACAGTATTAAGAGGTGAATCATTTAAGAATTTTATAAGGGCTTCACCCTTGTGAATGAACTAATGCCATTATTGAGGGAATGAGTTCACCTCTCTTGTACACACTCTGGCATTCACTGGTGCTCTCTCTCTTTCTTCTTCTCTCTCTCATTCTCTTGCTTGTTCTTTCTCTCTTTCTCACTCTCTCTCCCTCTCTGTCTATTACCATGTTATAAGACAGAAAGGAGGCCCTTGCCAAATGACAACTGTTCACCCTTGGACTTCTCAGCCAATAAATTTCTGTTCATTGTAATTTATCCAGTCTCAAGCATTCTATTATAGCAGCACAAAATGGACTAAGACAAATCCAAATAAAAATCTATGTTTTTGTGGAGTTTGTGTTTATAAATGTCATATCCTGGTTTATGTTCTAGTGGGGAATAGATGATAATAAGAAGGTTACAATAATAGCATTTATGGAACACTTCCTTTGTACTAGATTCTGCCCTGAGCACCTTATATTCTCTCATTTGTTTTTCAAAGCAACTCGGTGTACTCGGCATTATTGTCCATATTTTTCATATTGGAATACTAAATGTTAGAGCAGCTGAAGAACTTGCTCAAGTGATATGTCCAGAGTTCAAAACTGAGGTCTTTCTGACAGTTCTTCTTAATTACTTATAAAACTCTTACTGTGTCTCCAAATCCATACCAAATTCCTTGAGAGATACAAAGGGACATAAGATATGAATTATAAGGTCCTCCACTAACATAGAGTCTCATCCAACATTCCTCAATTACATGTGCAATTTATAGGATGATTAATGTAACCAAAATTCAAAGAAAGTAGGAATATTATGAGAAACATAATCACAAAAAGTGTTATTGGAAGGTAAGAGTTGAACTGGGGTTGAAGGGTGAACAAACTCATAAATGAATGGACTTTCCAACTTGCCTACCTTCCTGAATAGTCATGAAGCATTTTATTTGGTTACATCTGATTTTGTCACTAAGCATATCTTTCAGTGTTACCTTCTTAAATTTCACTCTTTGGGTTTCTAATTAGTAATTTTTTTCTGTCTTGAGAACTGTATGTTTCATACATATTTTTTAAGTCTGCTACATTTGGCCCTGTCAACTACACCTTTGTTTAAACTATTTCAGCACTTGGCTCCCTGAGCACACTGATATTCATAGACCATTTCTTCTTAGCTCCCTCTGCAGCCACTTCCCATTCTTTTTTGACTTTTTATTGTTTTTTCTTTTTTTGAGACAGAGTCTCGCTCTGTTGCATTAGCACAATCTCAGCTCACTGCAACCTCTGACCCCTAGGGTCAAGCGATTCTTCTGCCTTAGCCTCCTGAGTAGCTGGAATGACAGGTGCGTGCCACTATGTCCAGCTAATTTTTTGTATTTTTAGTAGAGATAGCATTTCACCATGTTAGCCATGATCTCGATCTCCTGACCTTGTGATTCCTCTCACTGCAGCCTCTCAAAGTGCTGAGATTACAGATGCGAGCCTCTGTGCCTGGCCTTACCACTCTTAAATGTCAGTGTTCTCAAGGTTGCTTCCATCCTGATTTCTCTTTATGTTCTACAAACTATCCATTAATTATCGGAACCAATCCCATAACCGTAACCACAATATATACATCTTAATGATATCCCTTCTAAGGTCTAGACCCAAATAAAAAACAAGAGGACCTATGGGAACTTACATGACAAATACAAAATGGAAATTGTTTATTTTGGTCACTCTCACCACCAACCCCTCCAGTAACAAGAAAACAATATGCATTAAAAATAAAAATGAATATCATTTGTTTTGTTTATTTATG